GTTTCACTGCAACACAAATTCAAAGCAGTTTTGAGCTATCTAAAGCCATTTAAATTTTAGATTTGTATTAAAAGGCTGAATGGGACAGTCGCCCCAGACCCCAAGCTGATTAGATAGACTCAATCTTCTCTGCAAAAACAGACCCAGCAAAAAAATCCTGACGAAAGCCCTGGCCTTAATTTATCTTGCAGACTTTTCGTATCGACCAAACATGCACGACTGCCATTGTTATGAACATAGATACAAACATTGACGTTTTATTAGAGAATAGTCAATATTGCTGCCAGTCTGAATTTCAACGAGGGGTCGTCTAAAATCCAGGCTACAAACAACGGTGATATATTCCGGAGCGAAAAAGTCAATTTTTATAGACAGTCGACTTGCATTTTGTAATGTTTGAATAAATATAAAGAAGTACTTTATTTGACTCTATACAAGTTACCCGTTTTACAACTCTCTATGCTTACTTGTATTACCAACTTAGACTAGTTATCCTTACAACAATTGTGATATTACTTTCTTAACCGTGTTTATCCTAACCCACCCTGTCAACTTTCCCTGTGGGAGGAAACCGGAGCACCCGGAGAAAACCCACGACTTTTGGCAGAGCGTAGACAGTCTTTTTAAGCGAGTCCGTAGCGAGAATCGAACCAGGGGCGTAGCTAAGGGGGGGGGGGTGTGCGGGGGGTGCCCCCGTCGGCAAAATGAATTGGATCAAGCCAATAAGCAATACCTGATTGGAGAGATTGTTTGTAGAAAATTTGTAGAAAATGCGAGATCGAAAAGATAGATATGTCGACTGAAAGCTCGGCCCTTTTCCGAACATTCAGCCAAATTGGCCAAGAACTTATTACGCTAATACGCTATTTAATAGTATAATAGCATAGTTGCCCGGGTTTCTTTTGTTTCAACAGGGTCGATTACTAACTAATCGCCCGCTGTAGCGGGCGATTAGTTCTAATCGCCCGCTAGAGCGGGCGATTAGAACTAATCGCCCGTTACTAAGGGTCACACCTTTGTCTCCCTGACGACTACGCATTAGGCAAGTGCCTCACGCACATAATCGTGCAAGGAACAGCAACAGTTAGCTCAGAGCCGTCAATAGTCTATCATCCGATCCCTGAGTTGCCGCATCGTTTAAATTACGCACGTGCGGTCTCCAATTTTATACTAATATATTTAGCGTTTTTGTTGTGGTACGTTAATGATAGATTAGGCATGCGTAACCGACTAAAGCGTAAAAATTGCGCATGTGCAACAAGCTTTTACATCCCACAAGCAATGAAGCAAATGTTTTAGCTTAAATACGCTGATTCCAAGTAGGGCATGTTTGTCCATTTTTAAATGGGAGCGCAACTATGCTATTACAAACTAATAGCATGGCTTTTCGGGAGATTAGTGATTAAATGACCCCTTACCCTCGGCAGGTTTGCGGAATTCCCTCGGGTTTCGCCCTCGGGAATTTCGCAAACCTGCCTCGGGTTACGGGGCCATTTAATCACTAATCTCCCTCAAGCCATGCTATTACTTATAATTATATTTTCTTGCAATTTTGTGAAATATGATACCATAGGAAACTCGAAGCACATGTGCGTGTTGACTGTTGATGCGTCTGCGCTTCATTTCATAATTTTGTAAAGCCAGTAAAAGTCTTAGAAATTACACCTAAGGGTCTTATATACAATGAGAAATACGGACAGTAGCATGGACAGTAGCAAGCAAAAACGCAAACGGAAGAGAGAGAAACTGACGTGTTTAGTTTGTAATTGGTCGTTTGATGACGATTGGATGTGCTTTTTTGAAATTTATACCATGTATTTTAAGGAACTATTTCGCCTATTTTAAAAATAAATTATCTTACTACTCGGATATCATCGTTGTACATCACTTAAAAATGAATACGGTTCGTTTTGACCACGCCCTAACAACGTGCTAGCCACGCCCTTTTGTCGGCAAAAAGTTGACTTGCACCCCCTGAAAAGAATAGTCTTCGCTCCGCCCCTGAATCGAACCCACCATCTGTCCATCTCAGAGGTGAAAGGCGTTTGCTCTGACGAGTGCCCCACCAAAGCCCACATCAAAGCCCCTGTGTTCTCCCTTTATAGAGGGTAATGCAATTTTCTCAAAACGTCGATGTTTTCGTGCATGTAAATCCTTTTCAAGTATTTCCGACAAAAACCATTGCAGTTTATTTTTTAAAATTAAATTCTTGTTATTTTTCAGTTTTTCGACGGCAAGTGCCTACCTAATATGAACACATTTTGTGAATGGTTTTCTGAAACAAAAGTCATCAGTGTTTACGATTCGTTCTTTAGATTGAATCTCTAGTTTAGATGTGATTTCTATAGTTTGTCTGTTACTGTCATGATCAAACGATCAAAAAGGCTGTTCATGTAGATAAGTAACAAGTACCGACTCTTTTTCGGCTTTCAATTTCTGATGTGAAAGGAAAAATTAGGCCGGAAACGACGTAACTCATGAAAAAATGTACGCTTGCGTACCTATTTTTTCTGTAGACAAGTAAAATTACAAAACTTTATAGTGGGACTATTTGAAGTATCCTTACAAAATACGTGGATAATGCGGGCGCATGCTGGTTTTTTTCCACAAAATGGCGACCGTTTTAAAGGGAAGATTTGTTTGTAATTTTTTATTTCGAAATTCTGCAAGGATTATTTCACGTCCAGCGTTAAGTAATTATAGTACCGAGGTTGGGGCTAATGTGCAGAGCAAGGATAAGGAATTAAAAGTCGTTCATGAAGTAGAAGATGTGAGTAATTCAATGTCCTATTAGGGCTATTGAATGTGGATAAAACTGGTTAGAAAGTGCCATGTAATAAGTCCGTCAAAAGTAAAATACATGTACAACAAAACCTGAATAAGACCATGGCTCCATTCACATGGGGTTAGTTGGATCAATTCAGAATGGTACACCAATACACGCTTCCTGAAAGTATGACACCTTGGCTATAGAGCCTCGTTCTCATGTATGTAACATCTACGAAAACAAGGCAGTATAGCCAAGCATTTGTGTATGGTTATGAATTCCTCTGATCTTGTATCCGGTTGTAGAGTTATTTTATAGCAGAACGGTTGAACCAGGCAAGATCTCAGCAGCTAGGATGAACATTTTCCCATATAAACACTCATTGACTTGCCTGGTTGCATGCTAAACGGTCAAAAAGATGTCTCCACAAGGTGTCTCCATGTAAAAGTCAGTGGCGGACACTAGGTGGAGGGAGGTGGCGGTGGCTGTCCCCCCCCAATAATTTTGAAAGACCTATAAAAGTCTGGCACCAAATATCACAATTAACATATACAATAATCAAGTGAGCCACACTCTGAAAGACACTGAAACCCCTTTGGCAAACACGTTAAAAATTTCACCCCCCCCCCCGCCAATATTTTGTTAAGTGTCTGCCAGACCCCCACTGATTACAGTTGCTTTGCCTGTGTCAGCCGACTGATCTATACAAATCACATATTAATTAAAAAGCACTACGGTCCTAACTATATTTCAGCCTCAATTAGCAATTGTTGGTGGTGTACCAGAAGAACAACTGAAAACCAGAAAAGTTCAAATCTTTTCTCCCGCACAAAATGCTATGCAGTCTGGATCATTTAATACAAGACTTTGGAGACTTGAGTTCAACACGCAAGATCGCTGGGAAAATCCTTTAATGGGCTGGGCATCAACGTAAGTATTTGTTGTATTGCACCCTACTTATTTTCACTGTCAATTGCCAGACTATTTCACTTGATAAGGGGGGGGGGGGAAGCTGGCATAATGTGTTAACAAAATAACTTGGCATTCGACAGAGTCTCACCCTTGTGAGTGATGTGCTGTAATACACCCATACTTATTTTTCACTATAATTCCAAAGAATGATTTTACTTGTTTGATGGAATGGCATCCCTTGGAGCGGAGTACATTTATCTGGTGTTAGACAATGTAACACACATTAGGAATACCCACAAGAATCCATTTATAGAGTGGAGCACTTTCCTCTTGATAATCATGCCTCATTATACAGAGAACATTTGCAAATTATCAAACATACATACTGTACGTAGCCACTGTACTGTATAATTTTGTTAATAATTCTCTTTTAGTGCGGATCCTTTATCAAACACGGTCATAGAATTTGGATCAAAAGAAGACGCCATCAACTATGTGGAGCGACATGGTATTGCGAGTTTGTCTTGACAAATTTGTCCCTTTTTATAAATACAGCATTAAACACACTATCGGGAAAACATGATCTTTGTTATCCCTAGTTAGCAGATTTTCACATTGAGACAATTGAATTATACAGTAGTATGGCTTGATAAAGAACCATTGTCAGTAATAGATCATGCTATTCTTGCTAGTGTTTCCACTAAATCTCCTTCCACCTGGTATCCTTTCTAGGCTGGGATTATGAAATTGAGGAAAAACGGGAACCAAAGATGCTAGAGAAGTCATATGGTGCTAACTATTCCTGGTCGAAACGAACAAGAGTTTCTACGAAATAAAATTCGAACTAATCCCTTAAAGAGTGCAGGGTTCTCTTTTCTGTATGGAACCTATGAAAATTGTTTATTATATATACTGTAAATGTTTTGGTTGTTCTTGCAATAAATATTTGTTGAAAAATGTTCTGCTCTATTCAGATTTGTTGTGGCCACAGTCTGTGAAGATTGGATGGTCTGGAATCGTGGCAAACTTCAAAGCCACAAAATAGAAGAGCTTTGTTTGATGTTGAACTGTACCTCACCTTACACAAATTCTTTGTCTCAACTTCATTAAATATTATTCATCGTGGTTGCACGTTTCATCTCAGCTATCCTTGTTTAATGGACGGTTACTTGATTATACGAAAATACCAAGGGTGGATTGACCACAAAATTTTTGTAGTTCGCTATAACTACAGCTACTTCAAAAATATGTAATCAGCTACAACTACTGCTACTTTTGTACAAAGATAGTTCGCTACTGACTACAGCTACTGCTTAAAAAATGTAGCGAACTATTTCGCTACGCTATATTTTTTAGTTTTACTGTATTTAGAGCATCTACTAACTCAGGCTGAAATGTAACCTATAACAAATCGACTCACGAGTAGCAACAGTAAACACAAAGCAACATTTTTGTAAACACTACAGTGTTCAAGAGTGCAAATTGACTATTGAGTATTGATTTTAAGCAAACCGTGTCTCAATATCATGCTATTCTATCAAGTTGCTAACAATTTTAAAAAGTAGCGAATAGCGATTCGCTGTTTGAAAAGTAGTCAACTACTTGGCTACCTTTATGCAAAATGTAATTCGCTATAACTACAACTACTGTTTTAAAAAAGTAGTCAAAAACTACTGGCTACTTGAAAATTGTAGTTCGCTACAGTAGCGAACTACAACTACTTCGCTACTACCCACCCTTGGAAAATACAATAAGCTCAATCACCGTGACAAATTAACATAAACTCAAACACATAACGAACACTTCTGTTTAGTTTTCAGACCATCATATTTTGATAGACTATTGCCCGTATTCTAAAAGCTCACTCACACTCAATGAATGGAGGATTAATCTGAGCTTTTCTTGAGTGTCATTGCATGCTGTTTTTGAATAGCCGGAGGGTTAGTGTCGTAACTTACTATGCGACCACTCACCCTCCAGCCAGTGGCGTAGCCAGACCTTCATTTTTTTTTGGGGGGGGCGAAGCGAACGCCGAAGGCGCGAGACCATCTATGGAGGTCAGGGGGGCATGCACCCCAGGGAAAATTTTAAAATTTAGAGTCCCTGAAATGTGATTTCAAGCATTTTGGGGATGAAATATTGCAGAATCCCGAAGATTATAAAGTACGTCGAAGACATAAATTTTCCCTGACATTCCTAAGTTTCTACTCGCTTTTATATATGATACAGAGTAAGTCTGAGAAGAATATTCATGTTATCATAATGCATATACATTTAAATCTAAACTAAATCTATTCCTCTTGGAACCATATCTACAACTGTTTTAACGAGATTTTAGAAATCAAGTTCTTCCAGTATTTCGTCGTTTTCTTCAGTCGAGACGTACTTAATCCGTTTCAGCTTCGAGGATGTAACGTGTACCCCCCCCCATTTCTCTACGGATTTAGCCTTTTCAGAGAATAGTTTTTTTGCGATTTGGGGGGGGGGCGACCGCCCCCCCCCTTGCCCCCCCTTGGCTACGCCCCTGCCTCCAGCTATTCCAAAACAGCATTGACACTCAAGAGAATCTCAGACTGAACCTTCACTCATTGAGTGTGAGTGCGCTTTTAGAATACAGGTGTATGTTGTGGCCCGGCATCACAGCGTTTGTAGTCCAAAAGCTGCGCCCATTGGCATCAGTCTAGCCTGCATGGCAGGCGGTATTTCTACGGGCAGCGAAAATTAGGGAAGCAAAGGAAATACCGTCTGCCGCAAAACTAGGGGTTTTTGAATTACCCGTCCGCTGGTGAACGGGAAAAACGGATTGGTTAGTATTTTTATGTAGTTGTCAATCAACGGCTAAATTCGGTTAAATGTTAATCATTAACCAAATGTTTTGACGTTTTGAAACTCTGCGTTTTGAAATTAGTTCACGTCAAGTCAGACCAGAAATGGAATAACATAATAAAAGAAGCAAATTAAAAGATACAAGCTGAAAAATAACACTCTAAATAGTGTTATTGATAGAGATTCGAACAAGAATATTTAACAAAGAAGATACGTCCGAAGGGGCCGAAGTTATGATCGGCGAAAGGTATGGGCTAGTCTATATTTTCGTTCAGACAATTACATTCGTATTAATTTGATAATATACTATCTCGCTTGACTTTCAAAGGCCATAAATCGCAATAATGTTGACATTTTACTAAAACTATCGATGGAAATTAGGAGATATTTCTTCACTGAATCGAACAGTGGGATTTCCATATAGGCCTATCAGTCATGTTCTGAACCAAAGATACTTGATAGATATTATATACGAACCTCCAAAGTATAAACAAGGGGCCGCGGTTGATGCAGTAATTATCAAATAAAAGCTAAACTCTTTATATACCCGTTGAATATGTATAGTTGTAAACAAATAAAAACTATCGTTCTATAAGGTTCAATACTTTCAGTTTGGTACCAAACTTTGGTTGTTGACTGATGATGAATCTATAGTATAGACTTGCATGCTTTGTATTTTGAGCTTATTAAACCAACGTTTTAAGGCAGCTAAACGGTTTATATTAACACATAAAATAAATTCCTTGATTCTCATCACTAGACACAGTCTACACTTTGAAATGTCGAAGACAGTGGGAGATTTATTTTTTATATTTTATATTTATATAATTTATATATCAATAGTTCGTATCTCCACGAACAATGATAGAATGACTGAGTTTCTTTAAAATACAATGAAATTTCACTCAAAATTCTGTTTGTTTCAAATTGGAAGTTTAAAATGGCAATACAAACTGATATATAAAATATGAAAAAATTAACTGTCTTGAATTATTTTGTCGGGCGGTACATTTATATTGTATAACGAAAAATAAAACGTTTTCACGGGGATTTTAAAATTCAGTCGGGCGGTGATGAGAATCAAGGAATTTATTTTATATTTTTATGTTGGGCAGTTGGGACTTGGGAGCAGCTTGGGAGTGGCTAATTTTGAATATTTACTTAATTAATTCATCTATAAATAGCGTTGATGCTTCAGGGGTGGTAGTTCATTTACACCCAGTTTTGCGGCAGGCGGTATTTCCTACGTACCGCCTGCCATGCAGGCTAGCATCAGTCCATATTCGCAATCGATTAATTGTCGTGGTCAAATGAGAGTTGAGAAGAGAAAGTTTGCATGAGAGTTTTCATGTCCCGGTCAAACGAGAACAAGACTACTATGACGACTATAACGACTATAACGTCTACAACAGAATATCGTGTATATGACGTCATTGCTATCTATTATAAATGACGTACATTTCGTGCGCGTAACATAACGATATAACCGAATTTCGCCTGTATGAAATAGAGGTCTGCAAATCCGATTTGTTCGGATTTCGGAACCAAAATGTTCATTTTGGATCGGATTGATAAAGTTGTTTCGTAGTTGGATCGGACTTTGATGTCCAATATAAAATGAATTAATTAATAAAGTAAAAAAAGCAGCTTGTGGTTCCGGTTTCATATCGCGGTAGTCCCCCCCCCCGTCCATGACACTTGTGACGTCAGGTACATACGGGACTTTGGGGGCGGGTTTTGGCGGGAAAATCTGTAATGTTTGGAGAAGACAAGATGGCGCTGGTTACCTCGTGTTTATATATCAAAGGGCATTTTTGTTCACAAATACCCGCTTATTTTACGTTATAGCGAGTGGTTCGTTTTGGAAATTATAACTCAATGGATGGGGAAAATGATTCTGTATTAAAGAGAAAATGATGTGCAGTTATTGTGATGTTATTTGTTGTGAAAGACGGCCCGAAATTTCGCTACTTCGCAGTACTGGTTTATAAAACATTTACAAGCAACAGCAATTGAACTATATGACAAAGAAACCAATGTATACAAGCCAATCAAGTTCTTCAGTTTAAAGGTCAGTTTATTTTTGATAATTAGTTCATGTAGTTATATATAATACGAAGTACAGGGCCATTCCATTTAATATCCACACCCTCCTGTTGACTAGATTTTCCGAAGGGGGTCTGAAATTTTGAATTTCTGAGGGTGTGCCAAGTTGAAATTTCCGAGGGGGTTTGTGAAAGGAAAATTTCTTAAGGTGTCAACATTTTTGTAATTTTCCAAGGAGTTAAAATTTTTTTTAAAATTTCTGAGGGGGGAGGAGGAAGGTATACCTGTTGACGAAAATTTCTGAGGGGGTGGTAAATAATTGCTGCCGAAGGCAGCACTCCTAATCTTGACATGAAGGTTTTGCCAGAGTTCACTCGACCCAGTCTTTCGCGCCGATCTATGTATTGTCGAGATCTCGATCTTGTGTCTGTTAAGATGTCGTAAATTCCAGGGGGGAACGGCGGGGGGGAGTGCGAGAAAAATATTAAATATTTAAATTGCGTGTGCACATATTTATATGGCTATATCAGTATATGCAAACTTATTCTGGATCTGACCATTTCCCGAAGAAACCAGGTAAGTATGGCTTTATTTCTTTGTACTAATATCCATCAAGGCCATGAACTGTTTAGCGTTCATTGTGGAGGCAAGCAATGTGCTTTTATGTCATGAGTCTACGGCGCTTCTTACACAGTTACAGCCCGAAATATTCCTATTGTCCGCATGGTCGTTTAGAACATTTGATAATGTCTTATAAATACAAGGAGACAAGATGTACTTAAGAGCTCTGAAGTATTTAATGAATTTACCGGCAGTGTATAATAGCCCACCAGATTTATTCGTCAATAATGCCTTATTTACGAGTCACAATGTACTCAGTTTTAATATTTGTTTGTTATGTGCCAAGACGATGAGTATAGTGTTCATTTCTAGATGTTTATAGTTTAACAACAAACGCGGAATGTTGTTAAATCAGGCTTACTGTAATAAGATCCCTAGAGCAACCCTGTGTGGATTGTTCTCTGCACATATTGACTTTATACCAGCAATATGATTAATGTAATGGTACGTCAACTGATTTTTGTATAAGATATGACTGTGTGTTATTGTTAGCATAATATGAAATAATCCTACAAGCCTACATTCGTATATATAATTAATATATTCATCTGGCTGTGTCACTACATTTCACGGTGTAATATATTTTTCGATAATGCCCACAATAATTTAGAAATGTCAACAAATAGATATTGTCTCCCCATCAACATATTGTTCGGTTGTTCTGTGATATGGGCAGCCTTGAAGGTGGCATTAAAACAATAATTGGAACAAACCCCGACTTAGGGCCTGTTTACATGGAGGCAAGTTACCCGGCAAGGTGAGTTACTCGCCCAGGCGGGACAAACAAGCGCTCTGTTTATATGGAACCAAGTTACTCGACATTTGTCGCATGATTGCCGCATGAAGCCGAAATGGCGCCAAAACAGAAAAAAGGATTTAAGTCGTTTGAAACGCTAAAAACATTACAAAATATAGTGAAAGTACAAGAATAATTGCCGAGCAATTCAGGAAAACTTATCTATCGATTCGTATGTATTTTTGAGCTATTATATTTCAATGGCAAAGCATGTGTAAACAGTCACTGGCTGCATCATGTAAACAGTCACCTGGGATTACTATTAGTTTCTATAACAGCCGGGATCTCACCGTTGCCGAGTAACTCGCCTTGCCGGGTAACTCGACTCCATGTAAACAGGCCCTTAGTATTTTTATATAAACATTGTACAGTATTCAGTGGCAAGGTAGCCATGGCAACTGGCCATATGCATACTATACTGATAAACCTGCATCTATTTGAATAATGCAAATCATTAAAAATTTGCATGGCATGACCTGTTGCTATGGCTAGCTTCACCACTGACAGTATTATAATTATACAACAGCAAGACGTTACAAGCATTGAAGATATTCATATAAAACCACCCATGCCAAGAAAGTAGAATTAGAACTTTCAGCCGCCCTTCGACTTTGTGCAAGATGTTTGATATTCAAATTGGACTTTTCCTACCTCCTGAACAGGCGTCTTAAGGGCTGTTTGCATGATGGAAAAAGGGATGATTTTGATGTACTAAAATATTAGTCACTAGGCTAAACGAAAGTTCAAACGCTCAAATGTAGAGAAGTAGTTCAATTAAGTATGTTCAAATGTAGAGAAGACCTTGTGGTTCAAGAAGGTTATATTATGTTTGAACAGGCAACCTTTCATTTACAGTTAACTATACTGTAATCCATCTCTAGAAAATAGTGAAATTTTTTGCTGAATCATGCATTGTGACTTATTTAAGTACATCAAAATCATCCTGCCTCATATCTGCTGGCAAAGCGGGATCATATAAACAGCCCCTTTTTCAGCAAATTGTGCATGCTGCCTTTAATCCCTTGGGGTGAGGCAGCATTTTCCTTGCGATAGTAACTTCTAGTTCCCAAAAATTACTGAGGGGTCTATCATAGTGGAACCACGTCAACAGTTATTTCTAAGGGCTTGAGAAAAATTGTAAATTTCCGAGGGGGTTCTTAAAAAATAGTGAATTGGGTCATTCCCCGACTGCACTCCACTTTGGTGGGAAAAAACTTTACTGACTTTTGGCGGCGTATTTTGGCGTAAATTTTAGCTCATCACTATTTTTGGCGGCGTGCAATTCTAGAAGAATGGCGGATACACAAGCTGCATGTATAAATGGTGTTAATATACCGATGAATAATTAATGTTTGAATAATATTTCATTATTTTATTCAAATAAAGTACCTTTATTTCTAGATGAGATCTAAATAAAGTACTAATATTTCATTATTTTATTTAAATAAAGGCCCTGACCGCGTAGCTCAGTTGGAAGAGCATTGGGCTAGTATTCCAAAGGTCGTAGATTCGAATCCCACCGTGGCCGGGCATATTTTTCAAGCTCGCCCGGTGTGGATATGCACTCAGAGTAACACTGCAAACATATTATTCACCTGAGTACACAACACCAACACAGAAAAAAAGTACTTAACTTCTTTATAACCTTTTCTACTTGCACTGTGCAATACAGCTTTAAAGTACTGACAATTGATTTGAATTAATGATATTACCCATACTTTCCTGCAACTTTTCCAAATATATAGTTGATTAAATATGCCTTCGGCCATTTAGTACTATGAAATTGTAAACAAATTGTAAATTTCGACTTACTAAAACGCTGTTTTCTGACCATCAGAATTCTATCAAATCTTCCCCAAAGTCCAGGAAATGGGATTTCAGAGGCTCGAAATTTAAAAATTTGCTCAATTGTTTTCAGCTCCACTCCCAATCAAAAACAAGTTCCTACGGCATTATCAACATACAAATATTCAGCATTCCCATAATTATATTGTTTATGAACTGTCTGTCGAAGTTGTCAATATAAGATGAGATTTTTGCACCTTTTTTATTTTTAAAATTTTTTTAAAGATGTGATTTTTGCACCTTTGGCGCATGTAACTTGACCGCTTTAGATATAATTAGTCTTTGGCGGATATAGTTTTAAAGCTGAATTTCTGGTGTGAATCTTTGGCAGTGAGAAAAGGTGGAATGCAGTCGGGTGTCATTCCAGAAAAAATCCATACCACCCCCACAGAGGAAATAGGAAGTTAACCCCCCTACCCCCTTTGGATGTCCTAATACATTTACTATTATCAGAAACAATTTTTTCTCCCCTCACTCTCCAGATGGCAGAAATTTCCTCCGTGTGGGGCAGGCCTCGAATTTCCCTGAAATCAATCGACGGCAATGGCGTTAAAAATTGCCGTAGAACGTAACAGTTGTCTACGGCAATTTTGACAGTTTCCACAGCATTTTTCAAATTACTGTAATAAAACTTTAATTTTATTGTTACTTTGGATTTTTGACAAGCTAGAAACATGTCTACGTATTTCTTTAGTGTTTTTTTTTTCGAAGAAAACTGAGACTAAAATAGTGATTTACGCATGATGTGATCAACATCTGAATTCAAGTATCAAAATAGTAATGCACAGTGAATAGTATAAAAATTGCACTATACGGCAAAAAATTGCCGTCGTTGCCACAATGATCCACGGCATTTTGTTCTCCCTCTACGGCAATTGCCGCGATAAAATTCGAGCCCTGGTGTGGGGAGTATGGATCTTTTCTGGAACAACCCATTTCCGAGGGGGGCTTACAGAAAACCGTTTCTGAAGGGGTCTAAAATCAGAAACCTCGTCAACAGGGGGTGTGGATATTAAATGGAATGGCCCACTGGATGCTAGTAAAAACTGTTTAATAATTAGTTCATTTAGTTGTGTATTAATACGAAGTACTGGATACTAGATAAATAGTTCATGTAGTTGTATATTAATCTGAAGTACTCTACTACCAGGGGTTTCAGAATAAGCCGGCGGCCGGCGGAGTTCCGCCGGCTACTTGAACTTTTACCGCCGGCTACTTTTCGTCTGGCCACAGGAAAAATTTTATATACAAAGGTACAAGCCAACCAACACGATGTTTGTTATGTTCCAATTGGAATTCAAGTTGGCCTTGAATTTCCCTGAAATCAGTCGACGGCAATGGCGTTAAAAATAATTGTCGTAGAACGTAACAGCTGTCTACGGCAATTTTGTCAGTTTCCACGGCATTTTTTCAAATGACTGTAATAAAAATTTCTTTAGTGTTTTTTTTTTCGAAAAAAACTGAGACTAAAATAGTAATTTACGGATGATTTGATCAATATCTGAATTCAAGTATCAAAATAGTAATGCACAGTGAACAGTTTAAAAATTATACTATACGGCAAAAAATTGCCGTCGTTGCCGCAATGATCCACGGCATTTTGTTCTCCCTCTACGGCAATTGCCGCGATAAAATTCAAGCCTTGAATTCAGTTTATGAATGGGTTCCAACATCTTCGAAAAAAGTCGCTTGCAAAGAACAGTTCTACGTTCGTAAAGAGTCATCAAGTTAGCTTTAAGCAAACATTCAGCATAGATAGTTCCAGGGAAAATAATTTTTAATGCCCTTTTTTGTATTTTTTCAACTTGATGACTCAGGTAATGAGGAAGGCCATAATGCCACACCTGACAAGCATATTCGACAATTGGTCGAATATGTGTACAATAGGTTGAGATCAGAATATGAGAAGGTAAAGCATTTCTTTTAAGAAGGCGCAGACCGTACAAACGCTTCGCGGCTTTCTTGCAAATGTAGTCAATATGGCAGTTCCATTTGAGGTCATCCGAAAGGACAACGCCCAATAGTTTGGCCTCTAGATAGATAGCAATGACGTCATATACACGATGTTCTGTTGTTGACGTTATTGGCGTTATAGACGTTATAGTCGTTATTGGCGTTATAGACGTTATTAGCGTTATTGGCGTCATAGGCGTCATAGGCGTTACAGGCGTTACAGGCGTTATTGGCGTTATAGGCGTTATAGGCGTTATAGACGTTATTGCCGTTATAGGCTATGTTTACATTGTATCGGATCACTTTGCGCCCGACGCAAAAACCATACCGGATAGGGCTTCTGTTTACATATGAAATGTTGTTATCGTCTCAATTTCTGCAACGGACCGGTGGTGCGGCGGTTCGCTCTTCGAAGTGGTGCGCGATGTATCGGATCGCTTTTTGCAACGCTCTCATTGTAATGTAAACACAAATCGGAGCAATTTTCGGTTCAATACGTGACTCAAGATGGCATCTGGGAAACAAAGACTTGCTATTCTAATCTTATTTGCGGATATAGCTTGCTCACTTATAATATTTTTGTAGTTAGATGGGCGAGGGCGGAAGCTGTTTACACTTGGGCGGTAGCGTTTCGTGAACGAAGCAAAAACCGATCCGATACAATGTAAACATAGCCTATAGACGTTATTGGCGTTATAGGCGTTAGTTGGATCGGATTGATAAAGTTGTTTCGTAGTTGGATCGGACTTTGATGTCCAATATAAAATGAACAAGACGCTCAACGGAGCGTTAACTCGCTGGGGCTATACAAATTTGCGCATTACTGTACATGATCACACAGTGATACATACAGTACACAGCTATTTCAATTACTAGTAAGATTTAAGGTTTTCCCCGAGCTAAGCGGAAAAGTCGAAAACGAGCGCAAAAGGCTTAACACGCTAAAATGCGGTAGGCTCTACCCCTACAAGTAAATTTATATTAAATCCATCCGTGGTTGGAACAATCTGAATCATACTGAACTAAATTAACGTATCCTTCAAGACTGTCAGCCATCCCCAATGCACCTACTGCAATGTGTAGTGGTCAGTGTATATAAACATATACTTTAATATCAAACAACAATATAAACATTACATGAACAAAAACACGAATCAAATATGGTTTTTCTTCTACGACATTATCCTATAAACTAGCGGCCATTGAGAGTCCATGTGCTCACTACCTGTTCGCAGGTTGTACCACCCTAAAATCCTACTACATTCCATTCCTTTTTTAAAAAAGAGAACATATGTTTGGTAATATAAACGTATTTAGCTAACAAGGAAGACACTTGTTCTTATAACAAACACAAAGTAATTGTAAATCTTCAAGTTGCTTTTGAGCGTTCTGTCCAATCTTATACTTATCGTCTAACTCAATAGAACATAACACTCTATTTGACTGTACAAGTTCAGTAGCAGGTGCATCTTCTACTTTAACTTGTCTCAGGGCTTTGTTCCACTTTGTCTTCTTCGATTTTCTATCCCAAAGTTGTATATCGTACACGTCTTCGTCTTCGTAGTAGCTGACGATTCTTCCTATACCATAGCGTCCTCCTAGACGGTCTAAATGGTATTTCACTGGTTGACTGGCATCCAACAGTTTCAGAGAGTTTTTTCCACCGGTTGCGTCAGGCATTTCAAACTGTATCGATGGTGTATGAATCAGCAACTGACGAATTCCACCAATGCTTTGAAGAATCTTTTTGAACTCGAGATTTTTTGTGTAAAGGTATTTGCACGCTTCTCCGGTTGATGACTTATAGTCTTTTTGTGATTTTAACCAAGCATGCAGTTCTTCGATCATGATTCTTATGTCGTCATCAAAAAAGTCTCCAAGCTTTTCGTAGACAATAAACGAACCATTCTCAAACTGCGG